TTGCATTATGTTAGTTATTGTTCTACATTGTTTTAATGTGTTTTTATTTTTGTAAGCCGCCCCGAGTAGACGTTGTCTAGGGGGGTGGGGTAAAAATTGAATAAATAAATAAATAAAATAAAATAAATTCACAAAAACATTTAACATCAAACAGACAGTTAAAAATAATACATAAGCAGAGTGAGACCTCTGATGTTTAATGGCCATGACCAAAACTCAGGATAAATATAACAATAAATCAGAAACATTTAAAAGAGGGGGAACTTCTCAGATTAATATTTTTGTTTTAAACTTTTAAAACATATCCTGTCACTTCTCTGTATCTTACAGAAAGTTTTTTAAAAAAATAAAATGAAAGAACCAACAAAAGTTCATATCCTTTTAGCAAGCATGTAGTATGGCAAGATATGGAACAGATAAAACCCCTAACAGATAGATATGCTGCCAAATTTAAGGAATAGCTCTTTCTTGTAAGTTTAAATAGATCAGAACACTGTCTCCTTGGCCACCTGCATCAGTATCTGCAACAGTCAGTAAAATCTTATTGTTGAAATTCTGTGGCCACAAAGCAAAAACCTTTGTATGGCTATTTGGACTTAGCACCCAGATCTTCCAAATCTCTGATGAGTTATGTCTAATACGTATACGCTGACTCAGCTCATACAAAGAAGCTACTATTTGATAACTGGATGGGACCAGCTGTTCAGAGTATACTTAAGTATACACTGATTTCCACAGACATATTTCACAATGTTTACCTTTTTGAACAGCAGGACTCATAGTATAGGAAATCTAATTGCAAAAGCAGGAAAGCCACAACAATCTATGCAAAGGCCAGGGAGTGCAACATTCATTGTTAACGACATTTTATATATTTATGTCCAAGGAGAAAAGTACTGGCAAAAGGAAAGCTGTTCCTTACTGCAAGTCTCAATAAAAGAAAAAATCCACCACTAAAATGCTAGCATGCAATCACAACTCTATTTCATATTAACTGACCTACTAAATTTAACCTAGGATCTTGATTGTTTACAATGCATTTTCCGTAGTAATTGGAATGTTTCTGTGTTAATCTTATGGAAAACTGTCAATGTAGGGGTGGCTTTTAAATGTCAGTTGCTTATCTAACCCCAATCCACCCGCCCTCTTCCTTGTATGGAGGAAGAGATATGTTGCAGATGAGTGCCTGCAATAGTTAAGACTTGCTGATTCATTATGTTGTGCTGACATAGGATGAAACAGCATTTTGCAGAAAACTAAGACTTGGTCTTTGAACTGGTTATTGTTACTTACTTGTATGCTTTTCCTAAAATAACAATGTTTCTATATTAATCTACTTAATCTATTTCAAATCAGTAACACTGGAGTTAGATTCACATTTTGCTCTCATACATGAAGCAAGCATTTTAGACATAATTTTAAGTCCAGTTCATAATTTTTTGCTGTTACCAATTGGAATATTTTTAGACAGATAACTAAACATGCAATTGCAGGTTTCCTTTTACAATATATAACAGACATGTCCAATTATGTTTAAAAAGTACGCTATATGTAAACATATAAAAGTTACTCAAGAATGAACACAATAATTACATGAGTCACTATCTCTGAGCGTAAGCTACTTTGCAGGTTTGTTTTTTAGTATAAACCGGAAACATGGTAGCAGAACCATTTATACAGAAACACTGCCAGAACCTAGGGAATGATATATAAACATACATAGGAAACCTTGCATCAGCCACTCTTTCTCTCAGCATAATCTACTTAACAGGATTATTGTACACATGCTATCTTAGCCACCTATGTCTGTCTCAAACGTATCTGAGGTAAGCCTTTCCCACATTACAGCTGTAAAAGCAGAAATTATATAGAAACGTGCTTCTGATATAAACATGAGATGAAAGACTAAATTTTTACACTTAGGTTAAACTGGGGTAGGGATCCAAGATCATAACAGGAACTCCTCATAAGATAGTTTGCATGAAAAACTAACTGCAATCCTGGCCTCTAATAAAAAGAACAGCAAAAATGCATTAAGTAAGGTCCAGTGGTTATAGTGACAGACTTGGGAGATTGGTGTTCTAGTCTCCCCTGTGCCACAAACTTCACCGGGAAACCTTGGAAAAGTCAGTACAGTATCTCTTAAACTGGCTTAACTTACAGGTGTATTGTAACCATGACATGGGGGAAAGGGAACCATGTGCAGTGTCCTGAGTTCAATGTAAGAAAAGTGGCACACAAATACAACAAATAAATAAACCCTACTGAATTCACCAGCAAGCAGGATAGTTCAGTAGTTTAGGAATCTGGCCGTGGAGCCAGAGCTTGGGATTCTATACTGTGCCTCCTGCAAGAAGAGTTAGCCTGTGTGGCCTTGGGCAAGCTGCACAGTCCCAGGGTGCCCTCAGAAGAAGGGAATAATAAACTTCTGAGTATTCACTACGTGGATAATCCTGAAAAGGAGTACCATAAGTCAGAATTGATTTGAGGGCACAAGAGGGTGATTAATTCAGTGGAAGTTACAGCCATGTAAACATGCACAGAGTTATCCATGGATTAATTTTGCAGGTGATAATGCTTCTCATTTCTGACCAGGTTATTTCTGTTCCTACTAAATTATTATTTCTTAAACTGTAAAGAATCCATTTGATCATAATGTTAAGAAAGAAAGCTGCAGGGTGGAAACAACATCAGGGAAAGACGAAGGGGTTAAAACTAATTTTTAAACCCATCAATGTATATAGACTGCAGTGACCACAGGTGCTGTATACTAACAAGAAAGCATTCTGGACTGGGGGATTCAGCTTCATGGCCTTTTACACTTTACAAATTCTGAAATTTTTTGAACTCCCCACCACATGTTCCCCCACTCCACTGGACATGTGGAGATTCTCATGAGTGGCTGTCTTCCACTTTCTCTTGCTCATATGGGAAGATTCACAGACACAGGTAATACTGCAATAATATAGCTAGAAGATCACTATCAGAAGATATATTTGATCTTCTCCAGAACTATATTCAACAAGTTTTCTTTATAAACAATGAAGATTTCCTTCACATCTTTCTACCCAAAGCACATTGCATTGAAAGGGGAATAGGGCCATATTATTCATACACATCTAATGCTTTGCTAGGTGAATTCAACCCATCCAGATCATTGCCAGGTTCATTTATTCGAGCAAAGGGATGGGCACTCTTGTTGTTCTGGAGGTGACCCACACTGATTCACTTGTGCTGCACTCCCCCATATCTTCAAATGCTATTAAATCCATACTTTTGAAAACCACAAAACTAACTGCCCATTCCAGTTTCTGTCTATAAAAGGAATTTTCCTCTACATTTGATGGGACTTGTTTGCAAGCAATGTGTGATAGAATGCAATCTAAGCTCTTTAGGTCTGAGGATCTATGAATTTTGTCTTTCCAGTGAAAGAAAGAAAATTACCAGAAAGTGCAAGCCAAGCAAAAATTCAACCAAGATAACACAGTAGCCAACACCATCTGTGTTCCAAGGTCTGTACTTGTTCTTCCTTTGAAAGATCATTATATCCAGGCTTAGGAAAGCCACAAAGGAATTTCCAGATCTGTAGTAGTTTTTCTGGATTTTAAATTAATGTTTCTCTTTTGTATCAAAATCTTGTTATTTACCATAATATAGGACAACTTTACATGCATGGTAGCACTGCTGTTCATCCACAAAGGGAAGGGGGAAAACCCTGTGATCAGAAACCCAGTTGGGCCACTTAACTATCATGGCAGAGTTTGATGTTTCTGTCACACTGTCAAGAAAAACATGGTAAGGCACAAGAAAAAAGAGGACACAACATCTTGAATTTTTTTCATGATCAGTTAAGCTATATATTTAATATAATAAATAAATTTCTGCTATTAAGAAAGTCATAAAGAGAGCTCAATGATGTATAAGCAAAAGGACACCTCCAAATCTCACACAGATCCTGGACTTTTAATTTATTGTTGTCACCAGTCAAATCTCATGAATTTTATAACAGACAAGAGTGCCAGACTTATGAGTCCTGAGTTCAAATCCCTACTTGGCCATGGGAACTCACTGGAGGCTGGCAGTGAGTTCCCACCCCTTGAACATCTAGTTTGCCTCCAAACTTCCATTATGGCTGCCATTACTTGGAAGTGATTTGACAGCACATAACATGTCTAGTGACAAAACTTTAGCTACTTTTTTATATTTTGAAAATTGTTTATACTCACACCCTGCCTTTCCAAATCACTTTGTGCCCATTTGTAACTTAAAACACATTTACACGGAAGTTGTTCCTCCAAGCTCATCGCACCTTAATGGCCTGTTTAGGATCCTGCGATTAAACCCAAATCTTAATTATACGCAAATCTAAATAAGTTTAATGCGGCTTTTACAAAGGAAGTGGGCACAGTTCTGAAGGCAATGGTCAACACGTTTGGGTTATAGGCTGACAGCTCGGGTTGGGTGGAAAGTTTTGTTTCTCCAGCTGCACATCGGAAAGAGAAGCACCCTTGCCCGTCGCAACCCTCCCATCGGGATGCACGGGTTTGCATCAGGATTAGCAACACGGGAAAACTCTCCAAGGGCGAGGAGGCGCCCGAGTCACAACCCAGACAGTCTTTGGCCCCCTCCCCAAATGCTGACACAGTGGCCCGAAGGGAATCCCTCCCACGAGCCGTTATTGTTGCTGGGAAGGCGTTTCCGAAGCCTTGGCTCCACCGCCACGACTCCGGTCTCCCTCTTGCTTAAGCCCTCCCGGGGCAACCTTTCTACTATAACGCCTCCACCCCACCCCAGACACTTAATCTGCCTTTAAAAAAAGGGACAATCGGACCGTCCCCTCCCCCGTCACAGGAGGGGGGATGAGTAGAAGCGGGAGGGGGGGGAGAGGACTCCCGGGAGAGATCTGCGCCTGCGCTCTCCAGGTCAGCTCCGGTTTCCCTCTCCGCCACCCCCGTCCTCTCCCCGCGCGAAACACACTCTCCCCGCTCCGCTCCGCTTACCCTCTTCTGGTCCCGCCGCAGCCCTTCCGAGGCGTCCCAGCCGCTCACACCCCGCGCCTCCAGGGCCCGCTCGGCCGTCGATTCTGCCAACGCTGCCCGGACCGATCGCAGTCAGGTGACAACATCGCGGCCTCCGCCACCCGCTCCTCGCCGATTGGACGCCAATCCCAGCTGACGTCCGCTCGCTTCTCTTTCCCCCCTCCCCCACGCGCCGAAGCGCACCGCCTTCTCCCTCAGGCGCGCATGCGTGCTGCTGCTGCCGCCACCGCTGCCTTCTCTCTTCGCCCCCCCCCCCTTTACAGCCATCCTTTCCTTCGTGCTCAGAGAAAAGGTGGAAAAGTGAAGGTTTTACCCTGAGCTTCGAAAGGTTCATCGGACAGCGGCGAGTGGCCCCGTTCCGGACGCTTCCGCCGAAAGGGATGAGCTGAAAATGGGGGAAATTTACAAGCTAGGCTTGCAAGAGTCTTTCTCATCACACTTGGGAGCAAATAGGCGCTTGTGGGGCTTCGTTGTTGTTATTGTGCCCTCGAGTCGCCTCCGATTTAGGGCAGCCCGATGAATGAGCGAGTGCCCTGGCCTCAGCAATCCTGCTCAGTTCCTAAGGAGTCAACTCAACACATTTCCTTTTTGGTCTACCTCTTTTCGTACTGCTTTCAACCTCTCCCAGCAGTATTGCCTTCTCCGGGGAATCTTGCCTTGTTATGATGTGTCTTCTAAGCGATCTCTGGAGCCTTTTTTGCTTCCAGAGATAGTTCAGGCTTAATTTGAACTAGCCCCCCCCCCGTGTTCCTCTTTCTGGGACTCCTAAGGTATCCGCAAAGCTCTCCTCCAGTGCCACGTTTCAAACGAATCTTTTTTTTTTTGTCAGCTTTCTTTACTGTCCACCTTTGGCGTTTATACATGATGATCTGCAAGAGTGTAGATGATCTTGGTCTTGGTCTTCAGTAACACATATCATACACTTCATGATCTTTTCTAATTTATTCATTGCTGCCCTTCCAAGGCTCTGTCTTCTGATTTCTTGGCTGTAATCTTCCTTTGGATTGATGACTGAATCAAGGTATACGGAATCTTTTTGTTATTTGAGTTTCTTCATTGTCAACATTAAAGGTCTGCATAATCAAAGCCATGGTTTTTCTAGTAGTGATGTATGGAAGTGAGAGCTGGACTGTAAAGAAGGCTGACCGTCGAAGAATTGATGCTTTTGAATTGTGGTGCTGGAGGAGACTCTTGAGACCAGAGCACGCTGGGCCCTCCTGTCTTTGACTGCCTCACAGAATTGGGTCAAATTCATGTTGGTAGCTTCAATGACACCGTCCAACCATCTCATCCTCTGTCGTCCCCTTCTCCTCCTGCCTTCACACTTTCCCAACATCAAGGTATTTTCCAAGGAGCCTTCTCATGAGATGGCCAAAGTATTGGAGCCTCAGCTTCAGGATCTGTCCTTCCAGTGAGCACTCAGGGTTGATTTCCTTCAAAATGGATAGGTTTGTTCTCTTTGCAGTTCAGGGGACTCTCAAGAGTCTCCTCCAGCACCACAATTCAAA